TCCGTCTTGCGTCTCCGTCAGCTTGATTTCGTTTACGTTTTTTGCAGCGCGACGCCCACCGCCGTTGTCTCTCGCTGATTACGTAGATTCGCATGACTCCGGCGAAATTGCCCGAATTTCCGGTTTCCAGAATAACGACGTTACTACGAGCGACAGCTAAACGGCTAATTGAGCCGTACTCCCAAGGACGTTCGGCGAAACGAATTGTCCGAATGACATTTTCTTTCTAATCCTACCGCCGGCCATCACTCCCGTCGTGCAACCAGTGGTTACCAAATTTCATCAGGCGAAATTCGTTAAAAAGATCCCCCTGTTTCGATCTCCCTCTCGCATGAAATTATCGATAACAACGCGATTAACCCGATAACTCAATTAGAATCTCGATTAATCCCTTCCCTACCGTAATTTACTAAATCTCATCATACTTGGTTTACTCTCGTTATTTATTCATGCATCTCTTCTCGTGTTCGCTCAAAATGTGTAATTTTCTTTATTGATAGTATTTACAATTGCTCCAATAATTTGTTCAATTATTTAATTAATTTCTTCCTATTCTATAGCTTCATTCACATTATGACATTTAAAAGCATATTTATATGTAAAAGTTTCTCGACGTATTAAAATAGATTTTTTTTCTAGTAAGAATTCAATTGAGAACATTTGTATCTCGTTATTCTTCAATAATTATCATATATAGTACTTTGGTTTTAATACAAAATTCGACATTTCATAGTTATTTTAATAACTAAGTTTAAAATATTAATGTTTTTTTTTTATTTAAAGTAAATAAAAAAATAATTTCTTATCTAATTGAAAAAGATAACTTAGTTTTCAAATTTATTTGAACTATAAAATTTTAAAAAGTAATTCAACAGATACTTCAACCGCCGTATATGAAATAGAATACTAAATATTAATAGTAAAATAATTTAAATCGGATAACAAAAGAAAATAAGCAGATATAATTAAATATTAAAGTAAAGCAGAAATATCAAGTGAATCTACAAAACTTTCTTACTACTCGAGATCTTCTCAATCTCTTTGGTCATTTGCGTTTGTTCCCAAGCAAAGAAACGCGAGTCCGCGAAAAATCACGGCGGGCAATTTCCTTCCTTTTTATACTTCAGGTTTATCGCCAAGATAGATACCTCGTACTTCGTCCTATCACATTCTTAATATAATCATAAAGGAAAATTGTCGTCCGGAAGTGCGAGGGGGGAAGAAAAATATCAATGTCTAAAATCACAATGCGCCATAACATAGCCGACTGCCGTTCAACCCCCGCGTATCGGGCTTCGTAACTCCCGTAACCCCCCCAAAATAGCTGCCTTATATTCCGTTGTTCCGTTGTTTCCGTGTTATATTCTCGTGTGCCTGTGATGTTTCGCGCGACTGAGATTACCTTTCTTATCCGGAGTACAAGATTGCAGCACGAAGTAGCGGAGGGATTGGGACAATAAACGGGAGAGAGAGAGAGAGAGAGAGAGAGA